CTCACATCGCTTTAGTTGCTCAACATTAACAAACTGCTGTTTAGAATAATGCAGTCTGCTTCGGTCATGCAGTTTGCGCGGTTAACGCCTAGCGAATGTTTGCTGTTAAGAATTTTCAGTATCGCAAGTAGGCAGAAAGTATCCTCGTAAAATTTGAAGATTTTGCTTTGTGTCTGCTTACGAGCTGCTTAATTTCGTGCCGAAAGTTTAGTTATCTATATTTGAGACGTGAACGAACGTGGAAAAAGATATTGACGAAAATGAATAAAATAAAGCAAATGAGCTAAATTTAAGTTTTTTTTGATCTTGCATGGGCATGGAGGATATTCCCAAAATTTCATTTTCCTGCCTTGCGCGCTCATGGACTAGGAGATTTCTCTCCACTGCTTTCTTGCGTCCATACTCGAAACCTAAATTTATACAAAGGCCGATTTTGAGCTAAAGGAGTCGGACATGGGCGAGAAACATTTCAAATTTTTGGTTTCCTATTTTCTCGGTTGCTGAGTTGAAAACGCGGAACAGCTCTGTGTGAACTGTGTGCACATATTTGCGGTGTTAAGTCATACATAAATAACTTTGCCGTAGATTTTTGCTAGCTCAGGAGTTATTTTGGAAATGTTCCCCCATCCATGTAGGTGTTAATGAGCTCAAATCCAGACAGTGGGTATGCATGGTACGTACCCACATGCAGTTTCATGAAAATTTTTACGGGCAAGTTGTTAACTTGGGAACCTGAAAATCCATTTTTTTTCTCAGTAGACAAGCCTGGGATTACAAAATGGAAAATTAATAGGAAATAGGAAATTAGTGAAAAGTGTGTATGTAAATGAATTACATTAAAACAGTTTCCTTTTTATTGCTTTTCTGTGTTTTGTGCAGGCAATGAACAATTTGCTGGTGCTAGCGAGGGAGTCGGAGGCGGGTGCATCTCGGATCTGGAACGATGGTAAAATCGTGGAAACACTGCTGGCGGTGATTGATGACAGTTCGACGGACGCGACTGTTGCGGTGGCTGCTGCGCGGGTTCTTGATGAATTAGCAAAAAACAGCAAACGGGTACCACTTTTCTACTGTTTATTAAATTCTGATAGAACTGCATACTTTTACAAATATATGTTAAATTTAAAAAATTCAAAACTTATAACAGTTATTAATTTGTGAAAATGCGTTTAAATTCTTGAATTTTCAATAACAAACCAAAATGGTTTTGCAAATTGCGGTAACTTTATCGAAGATCCGTGCTTATGAGAAATCAATTCCATATAGCCTGTAAACTCGATCCAGAATTAGAATTCTATCAGTGATAAGGCTAAAGGAACTTTTCTTCCAGGTGAAAAGTTTCTGTAGCCTTACCACTGATAGAATTCTAATTTTGGGTCGCGTTTACATGACCAGCGGGAAAAAATCCTAACGATTCCAACGAGGAGGATGCTGAAAGCTCCAGAATGATTTTAATATTTTGTCAAAAAATTCTTTTTTAATATTTTGTCAAATATTAAATGATAGTATTTAATTTGTGCTCGCCAGGCGATGGCTATTGTGGAATGCTTGGGAATGCGACGGCTTTGTCG